GCGTAAGTCAAGCAACCTTCTTCAACTTGGATATTATAAACACGATCCTAAGACTTGTAGGTTATTGCATTAATCAAAACACAATGATTGTGCAGTGAAACTGAGTCTTCACAATCAATTGACATATTAATAAATACTTTGGAGAAACCCTCAAGGAAAGGGATGTCGATAGTCTGTTCAGCTACATGAACTTGTTGAAATTGCATCAGCTCAGCAATATAACCTTGATGAAATTGCCTTGGCTCTCTACATTAGAACACACCATGGTTGTGTCTTCGAGATGAGCATTGGATTCGATGATTGAAACAACAATTTCACTTATTGATTCTCCTTGCAGTCCATCTTTTCTTCATTGAAGATCGTTTTAACCACAAAATATTGATCATCATCACAGATCTGATCTCCTATAAGATCTTTTTCTTCATCTATATATGCATCGAAGATTGGTGGCAGATCCCAATCTACACCTTGCTGATTTTTTATAGAAACTACATCCAAATCAAGAATGTCCTTCAAATTGAAAACCCTGAAGTGGCCTTCCCTACTTCTAGGTCTTCTATCACTTTCCTCTTCACTCGACTCTTTACGTGGAGCACGGAGGTGAAAAAAGTTGTACTCGACTTCTTTTTGAGTAAAAAGCTCACCATCTTACACATGAATGATGCACGCAAACTGCTGAGCCAGCTGCTGAACTTGCTTCTTAAGTTCTTTAATTTTTTGATCACGAAGTGGATATGCGAAAACCCCCTTCCACGGTCCATTCTTGTTGCCATGAGTTCGCCGAAATCACAAACCATGAACAGATAATTAAAAAAACTCACTAAAAAAAAAGATCTAACCTAATTTGATAAAACTTGGCCCAAAATCAATAAACCCTAGACTTGACTGTAGTTTCCTGACTTAGTTGCTGAAGAAAACCTAAGGTCTAATACTACTTTGATACAGGAATAATTGAAGGAAAAATTAAAATCAGCAAGGAACAAGTTGAACACAAACAAAGTCATAGGTTTCTTCTCCATACTCCAAGTTAGGGTTAAAAAAGCCTCGGCTTTTCTTTCTCTTTCGATTTCTAAAAATCATGTGGAATGACCCCCTCAAGGCCCCACACACCATTTATATTTATGATTCAATGTTCAAAGACATTAAATGCCCATACAATAATTAAAATGACCCAAAACAATTAAAAATTAGCAATTATAGAGAAAAACCATGATCGCAAATCAAGCTAAGAAAAGAACAATTTTCTTTTTTTAAAAAATAAAATTCATTCCAATGACAGAAGCATCCCAAAATTTAACATCCAACCTTTTATAAGCCTAATAACCCTAAAATTAACTTGAGAAAGACCCAAGCAAATATTAAGACTCTAAAATACCCCTGAACAATACTAAAATTCCAAAAATATCCTTGTGAAGTAACACTTGAACACTACCTGTGAATAGTAGCTATGAATAGTAACCAATGAATAATAAATAAAAAATATAAAAACCATATTTACCGGGATCTTCTAAGGAGGGAATCGCTCTCGTTCCGGAAGTTCGATCCTGCGCTCCGAGACAGGGGATCTCGATTTCGGATGATTCCTTCATATATTGGATCTTGATCCAGGAAAGTAGGAACTCAATTCTATGTTGATGGGATCTAGATCCCTATGCCAAAAAATCATGGTTCCATGAATAAGCAGAATCACAATTACACCAACTTGGAATTGAGTATCCTCTACTTTGAGAACAAGTTTCTTTTTTTTGATAGAGTTAAACTGTATTGCTATAAATATTTTACATGGATTGTTTGAATCGAGAGTCCCTCCATGCTAGGACTCTCCGTAAAAATTAGGTCTACCGACCCTATACAAAATGATCGTATGTATCTGTCCAATGTTATACAAAATATACAATGAGATTACAAAAAATGGGCTTATAGTATTGCCCTTTTACACCAGCGACACAGTATTACACCGTGGTCCCTCTGTGGTCCGGATCGAAAATAGAGGCTTCACCCAGAGCCCTAGCCCCATCCTTTGCCAAGAGATTGGCTAGCTCGTTTGACGTCCTCAAGGAATGCATCCATGAGATGTTTATATCCTTGCAAATATCAGCGATCTCGTCAAAGATAAAGCAAGATACCATGGAGGAAAGGAAGTCCCTCTTGCCCATGATATTATATTTCTAGCGTCTCCCTCCACTATTAGGTTTTGCCCCCAAGATCAGTTGAAGCTCTTGATGCCCAAACGAATGGCCATAGCTTTGAGAACAAGTTTCACTGGCACATTCATTGATTCATATATAGTGGAGTGTGGGTCCCCAATATTTTATGACCTACAAACTTTTTGAATGCCATGATTTCCTACAAATTTTACAATTCACAACTTCACACACCATGTGAATCGTGACTTGTGTCTAGTTTCAAAAAAAAGGCAATAAGAGAGGGCAATGAGAGAGAAGGACAAAGTTACAAGGAGATAATAAAGTTGGTCATGTTTCAATTCTATTGAAGAACGAGGTTGCTATCAATACGCTTAACTTCCTTGAGGCTCGTTAATTGCATCCTTTCCACCTCCAAAGGATTTCTATCACGTTAGTATTGGCCAACCAAATCGAGGCACTCATGGCATTGCCTTATGGGTAACGGAATAACATGTATGCTTCAAAATGTGAGGTCTCTATTGTGTATAGGTCAATGAGCCCTAGCAATCTTTGATGGAGGAGAGGTATTGGGAATTATATATGGTGTTTTGCAAAGGAGACCTTCACTATCGCAGCATTTCTTTTTCGAAAACAATCTAACACAGAATTCTTAAATGTAATCATCAATCGATCTTTGAGTGGGAGTCGTTAAATCCAACTAATTGGTGCAAAAAATGAGGACGTGTGTGTAAATAGGTAGACCAATGTAGGTAGGTGTACAATTTTTATAATGGAACCACAATAGTACCTTTTTAGTGTGATTCTTGCATAAGTGGTTATTTTTATCTCCCTTGATTCCAATTGCTAACATATCAAAAACAAATTTGTTTCTACCGGGGTGTGTCACGAACGTTTTGTTAACAACTCAAAGAACAAATCAAGATGAAAAAGACGTGTTTTATACAACCTATCAATGTTGCATTATCACCTAAGTACAAAAAACTTGCATACCAGTCTCTCTTTGGGAGAAGTTGGAAGTGGTGGTACAACATCCTAAACTACAATTGTATACTAATGACCAACCAATGATAACAAAATGTCAAAAGAGAATTTTAATGACATGATTCTCGTTTACATTGCCAATTGGGTTTCTGAATTGGACAAAGTTGAACATATTGTTCATGGAATTCAATCCCAAAATACAATATAGTGGATAAGTGAACTTTGGGAACCTCGATCCTAATCACGAGAGAACGCGATCCCATTAAACAATAAATTCATTCCTATATAGACATGGAACGCGCTCCTTGGAAATCAGGAATCTTGATCCCTTTACCTAACCATGTACCGACCTTGTTCCCCCATCTATAGAACTTCGAGCCTACCTCGCTTCGTGCTCATCGTCCCAATCCCAGAGCTTTTGTCACTTCCATTCCCTGTAACTATGTAATCCCTAAAAAACTTGAAAATCCAAGAAATAAAACCTAAAACTAAAATTAAAATAGGCATCCTTTGAAATTAAACAAATATTAAACATAGGAATAATCTTTCCGTCCATCATTTCACTATTGCAACCGTTGCAGCATTTAATTTCTTCAATCAGATTTAAGGGCAATAGGGAGAGGCATTAGTTTATGAAGCACTTGTTTTGCCACATTTTTATTCCAATACGACGCCTCCAAATATCCTGTTTTCTAGGTTAATATGTCAAAATAACAAAAAGAATAATTAAACAAATAGTTTTTCCAAAGTAAATGGGACTGTCAAGATAAAACCATAAAATTCAGTTTCTAGAACCGAACAACAAAGCTCACAGTAAATAAGCTCTAGTTAGAGATTAACTTACAATAGTCATATGAAGAGAGGGACGCAACAGCACCAATTCGACCACCCTCAAAGACTTAAAAATGTATAACAATATGCCAACCATGCTAAAGATTCAAATTATGATGCTCCTAAATTTTTAAACACCCAAAGCCTATGAAGTTAAGGCCATTTGAATCATATCCCACATGTCAAGGCAACAAGGGCACACCTTTGAAAATCTTATCGGTCCCCCCAAACAAAATAACCATGGGAATGGCCAAAGGAAAACATATCCAAAAGATGCAAAGTCAAAGGGAATCCACGATATACGTCCATCCACTAAGTAGCAAGGCGAGTATAATCCAAAAAAAAAAAAAGCCCAAATGGATTGAGAAAAATGTGATCCACGATATCGCGGTAAGAGATTCAAGTTATTCTGGTATTTATGATAGTAATGATATAAGAAATCAAAAAGTAACGCTCATAACAACATAACATATAGTTTCATATCTAATGAGATGTTGATTAAGGAAGACAGTGACGTATGAACAAATGGTTGAATGGCCCCCCTAGTCATGTATTCAAACAACGCATAACACATATGATCAACTCAACTCCCTAGTACAGTTCAAATCTAGCCTAATGTTGAGCAGACCTATGCAGTAGTATATATTGCATCTGATAGGCCAAGTCTCACAACAAATTCATTAGAGTGACAAATGTTCATTAACAAGTTGATATTGCTGTAAATAGGAAACTTGATCGATTCTTCAATGTCTATGTTTTCACTAGGAAGATAACAAGTATCAAGTAGTGTTAACAAACCATTTCTAAGGCAGTCTTGTCAAGTGAATGTTTTGATAAACCCTTCCTGATCAGATAGCATAAGGATATGTAGTCAATACCAACAGTGTAGACAGGCCATTCATAAACCATCAATCAAACATTTTCATGGGCTGCACGTGATTCTGCAAATATTGGTTTCAATCCGCCGTAGCTAAAGTACTATTCATGGCAGAATTAAATCCAGAAGGAAAAAACGAAGAGATAGAGAGAGAGAGAGTGCACCTCCGGCCCTGTTCCCAACAGAGGTCAGAGGAAAGACTTTCTCAGGGATGTTTGGGATCAGGGGAGGATAATTGAGATCCGTCTCTGTAGGAAGCACTCTGTAACGAGGAGCCCTTACCCTGTAATACAAAAAAAGAATACATATTCTCAAACACATAGAGAGAAAGGGAGATGTTGTTTAGTTCTCCACAATTAAACAGAATAAAAGCACAAAAATCTTCAACTACAGAGAGAGAGATGTTGTTTTGCTCTTACTCCATTTAAATGAAGAAAGGGAAAAACGTATTAGTAATGTTCAAATTGCAGAGAGAGAGATGTTGGAGTGGGGGCTTACTTTTGGGAGTGGGAGGAGCGAACCAGAGAAGAGATGAAGGTATCATCAGTGGGGACGGGCAGTGTTCCGCAAACGAAACCGATTTGTTTATGCTTGGCTACCTGCAGCCTCCCAACGCACTGCAGCTTCTGCGGCTGCCCTCCTCCTCCTGCTCCCCCCTCTATTTCCATGGCTACTGCTCACCACAAACCATCTATAGATGAAGGAACACCATTGCACACAACAAAAATCAGCCTGCTCCCTCTTCTCTCCGCGTCTCTGAAATCTCTCTTCTCTCTGCGTCTTTGAACTCCCTCTTCTCTCTGCCTCTCGTCCTCTCCTAGGGGGACTCAGATCGCTTGCTCGTGTCACTTGAAGAGGAGGTACACGCCGTCGCCGTCTTTCTTTTCTTTCTCAACCTTTAGTTCAACTTGGGTCTGTTTCCTCACTACTTTCACGAGCAGGGGGGTTGGTGATCACTGAAAAACGACGTCGAATCGTAGGAGCGGTAATTTGGATCGAAATTCCTCACTACTTTCTCGAGCAGGGGGGTTGGTGATCACTAAAAAACCACGTCGAATCGTAGGAGCGGTAATTTGGATCGAAGAAAGAGGTAGGACAAGCTAGTTTCCTTTGAAAAAAAAAAAAAACAACCAGTGATCTAGACCGTTCTACATCCATGCGTATAGGACCCATTCCATATTCATGGGCGTGTAGGAACCATTCTACATATATGTGTAGGATTCGTTTCACACCCATATGTGTAGGACCTTAAAGGATCATCATTATATTTAGTACTGATCTCTAAAAAAGTTACCACATAGGTGTGGGATTTGATTTTTTTAGAGATCTGTACCAAATTTAATGATTATTTTTTGGAGTCCTATATATATGGGTATGGAATGGTTTCATAAGATCATTACTTTAAAAAAAAATTCAAAAGTATTACTATAATTTTAAAAAAATCTAGGTTTTTAGATTTTTAAAAGAAACAGAGACAATGGTATTATGGTTTTTATTATTGTACCAAAAATATATAAATACTGAGAACCTACCTCATGTTGAGTGTTTATTATCTATTAAATTTATTTTTATAATTAAAATAAAGTTTAAAATACAACATGATAATAAAATGAATATATGTCTCATGTTGAGTGTTTGTTATCTATTAAACTCATTTTATAATAAAAATAAAGTTTAAAATGCAACATGACAATAAAATGAATATCTCTAACTCAATTTATTTATTTTATTATTGAATTATCTTAGAAGTTTGGATTTTTGAAAAAAACTATATGGAACAAATTTAATGAAAGAGGTTGCCAGTAAAGAGAGAAAATTTTAGTAAAATCATTTGTTTGTACTATTTATTAGAGAGAATTTTATTAGAATTAATTTTAAAAGAATTATTAATGGATCAAACTTTGTAGAAAAAAAGTGGGAGGAGACTAATAGTATTTATATATAAATAAAGTGTGTGAGAGAAACAGTCGCAACATTTTTCCCACATCGACGAACAAAAGATGGACTAGTGTCCATTAAACCGTCACACACGGCAAAGGGTGAATGTTCCTTTTTTTCATGTTGCATGGTGACGTGTGTGCATTGGAGTCGTTGGGGCTGCAGTGTTTCTTTTTATGACAAAAAAGCTTAGTTGGGGGAAATATGGTGGTGGATCCCTCCTTCACAAAAGAAATTCAAAATATTCGGGGGCAAAGGCGATCGTATTTAAACAAAAATTAAAACAACTTCCCTTGTTAAAACTGGTTCAAGTGCAACTGATAAGGGCAGATCTCTCAATAAGCCGGTCGAAAATTAAACAACTTCCCTTGTTAAAACTGGTTCAAGTCAGTTCTCTCAAAGAGCCAGTCGATTCAAGCGGTTCCCTCAATGAGCCGGTTGATTCAAGCGGTTCCCTCAATGAGCCGGTTGATTCAAGCAGACTCCGGTCAAAGATTCGATCGATTCATGAGCTGGTCGATTCGGGGAATAAACCGGCTTCGAGACTTCCATGAGCTAGTCGATTCAAGCGGACTCGGGGGCCGATCGATTCAAGCGGACCCGGGTGGTTCCCGATATGTGTTCTCTCAATGAGCCGATTGATTCAGGCGGACCCGGTCAAAGATTCGGTCGATTCATGAGCTGGTCGATTCGGGGAATAGACCGGCTTCGAGACTCCATGAGCTGGTCGATTCAAGCGGAGCCGAGGGCCAGTCGATTCAAGAGGACCTGGGGGCCGGTCGATTCAAGCGGACCTGGGTGGTTCTCGATATATGACGGGGAATAGATTGGCTTTGAGACTCCATCCCATAAAATTTTTGTAGCATCTGATAGGGTTCTACTCTGATTGATCTGGTTAGTTTTTTTACAGAACAGGCCAGTTTTATCAATAGACCGGCTTCGAGACTCCATCCCATAAAATTTGTAGCAATTGATAGGCAGCAGATGACCAAACTCCATCCCATAAAATTTGTAGCAACTAATAGGCAGCAGATGACCAGATACAGCTCTATGCTGGCCAAACACATGATCATAACAGTCGGTTCTGCTCTGATTGATCCGGTCAGTTTTTTACATAACCAGATAGTATTATTAATGAGCCGGTCGATTCAAGAGGACCCGGGCGATTCCTAATATATGACGGAGAGTAGACTGGCTTCAAGATTCCATCCCATAAAATTTGTAGCTACTGATAGTCAGCAGATGACCAGACACGGCTCTACGCCGACCAAAGTCTCACGTGATCATAACGGGCGGCTTGTTTGGACCCTCTCCAAAACTGACCAATGATGGACTCACAAGATGTGAACTTGGTGTCAGTTGGAGGCCAAAAATGACCAGCGCTCAGTAAAGAGATGCAATAGGGACATTCTTAACCGACTCTAGGGGCCTTAGATATGAATCGTTGCCAAGCTAACCACGGGTGGCCTTTGGGATTCTCTACTTCATGGCCTATACTTAAACCTATGATTTTTGCTTGCCTTGGGTAGGCACCATAAATCTTGAAGTATGGCTCGTCCTTGTGACGGCAGCCTGGTGGTTTGGCAACCAATCAGGTAAGAAAAAAGCGAGAACATTCAAGGGAAGCCCTGAAGGCCGACCGATGGTTCAGATTCAGTTTGCAACTAAACAGACGATCTAGGCTCTAAGCACCCGTCTGAGATCGAAATTTGGCAAATGGGAGAATAGAGGAAGAGGGGGATTTCTTGCACATTAGAAACTCGATAGCGCATGAAGAAGAGTCCTACTAAAAATTCCAACAACCTCAAGAAATTTTGACATAGCTTCCCCCATTAGAAATCAAATTTTGGATTCACCAAAAATAATTTCCAGAACATCGAAGGACTTTGATAGAAGGTCGGTTCTTTGAAATCCAAAAACCCAAATCACGGCCAAGGTTGGGAAAACCCCGAAAGCAATGGCCATGGAAAGATGGGGCATGTCTCGAAGAACCCCGAGCCTTATCCATGTCGTGAGAAAACATGGGAATCAGGTTACTGCTAGGATATGAAAAGCACCAATAAGATGAGAATATGATGAGGAATGACAATAATGAAATATGAGAGAAGAATATACAAGGTGACCTACTATTCCTTCTCGGAGCCTTGCCGGAAAAAGAAATATGTGATATTAGGAAGAAAAGAAGACCTCAAAACTAAGCTCGCGACCGCAGGCTATGCTTGCGATATTAACGATCTCTGAGGGGTCGCAAGGCTTTATAAATTTGAAGGGATTGAAAACGATAATCACAAAACTAAAAAATGGTTGTCAAAACATGAAAACACAATTCAGCAGAGGACACTACTTCTCAGGGAATATGGAAGCAGTTGTGGGATAAGTTGCAAGAGCATTGTTTATACTAAAAAATGCTGGCGAAGAGCTTTGTCCCTCACATTTATTTCAGGTTCAAACAAATCAAAAGTTGATAGAGAAAGGTCTCGTCAAATTACGTTCCAGGCCAGGGTCGGGCCACAAGGTCTTCTCCAGCTCGGACCGCCAACAAAGTCGGTTTGCCGTTTATTAAAACCTTGGATTTCAAAAAAAGATTTCCAAAATATTCAATAAAAAAAGGGAATTTAATAAAGAGGATTTAGAAATAGGAAGTGAAAGAAAGCAGGGCAATAAAAGAACTGAAGGAAACAAAGGCCAAGCAAAGGAAGCATTAAACAAAGGGAACACCAAATGCAACCAAACAATAACTAATAATTATGCATAAACCAAGCTAAAACTATTCATTAAATGCTAGCACAAGCATAAAAAGCAAGAGTAGAAGGGAAATAAATAATAATAAAGGGAAAAAGGGGCCGAGAAACGATACTTGAGGCAGGGCCCTTAGGCCTGGTACCCAAAGTTGGCACCGATTCATAATCAATTATTGCACAGTCAATCCCAATCCTTTGGGTTTAGACAGGGCAAGTGAATATTGGATGAAGGGAATCCGGAAGGTTTAATTATTTGGATTACTTTTGAGATAGAATGTAAAGGCTTGGGTTGGAACATATTAGTTTTGAGTAAGATCTAGGTCCGCACTGGCAGAGCTTACGCACATAATATTAAAATTTTCTCTATAATAAATGCTAAGGGCCATATTTATAGGCAAATCAGGCTTGGGACTACCATTTGATTTTTTTTGGTTCAATCTAGGCCCTTCATCTTCTATCGTCGTTTGGACACGTGCCGGAACTACTGGCAATGGCGTAGGGTTCTCATTAATTGCCATTAATTGTGGTCAACAAATTAAATGCGCCTTTAATGCATGGCGAGATACAAATACAGTCTCGTGAGGGGGGTTTCAGAAGGTTAGCGCTATTGGCAATGGCGCCGATGCCAGTCGAAATTGCTTCACAACGAAATTTGTCATGTGTCATCCTCTAGGTGTTCTGCAACATGTATTCTGGGGCAATCAGATTTCAAAGCGTTTCTGATTGCCTTTGGTGCCCTTTCAAGAGGTGATGGCATGAGAGGGCGACAACCGACCTATGTAGTGACATCTAATGCATCAGTACGCCTTACATGTGTTAGTACAATTTAACGCGCAACTTTTGGACTGCACTCTAGGCTGTCTCCCACTTTTGACTATCTAGGACCTAGCGTTGGTGTGAGGGGTACTGGTGCCAACCACACCCTTCTCTCTCCATTCTAGTTGACTCAGTGTCTGGTGTCTTTCGGGTCACTGTGTCGCATTTGGGAACTATTCTAGCTCTTTTGGAAGAGGCAATAGGACTTTATGCCTCCAAATTGTTCTTATCTTGATTGTCCCAAGTCTTGATCTGCTTTGCTTTATTCCCAAAGTGCTTTTAGCTCTGCTTGAGTGATATATGGGTTCATGAAGGCCATTTTCACTAATGGATTAAGACTGTGTGAGTGGTTCAAATTCTAGGGTATCTTGCCCTGGACATTCTGGTCATTCACAACTTTCTCAATTGAGATCGGGGTATCTACAATTGCCCCTCTTTGGTGCTTGTGCATCACTCGAGCAGTGGGGTAGAAGGCGACAAAGAAGTAGACGCTTGAGATATAGATTTTGGTAACGAGAAACTGAAACATCCTCAGTCCTTAGACATCTGGCATCGTAAAGACCACAGTGCATGTTGGTTACACGAGGGACTCGGAGGTTTACTA